GCCCTTCCAGCAAGGTGATCTACTGATGTTCTGGCGACCGGACAATCCACGAAGAAATTGCATGCTCGATGGCGCGGATCTGCCCAGCGCTTGGGCAAGGGCGATCAATGTTACTGGCTGGTTCACAATCGGATCCCGACTCTGAGCTCACTACGCTCACTGCGAGAAGCGACTGGGCACGAGGCGACGACCGTGCAGTCCACCGACCTGTGCTCAGACGGCGGACCAGCCCGACCGCGATGTGGACAGAGAGGCATTATAGACGTTCGAGGACAACAATAATCCAGCACGAGATGCTCAGCAGCCAGATGAATCACCCGATCAACAGCCAGATCAACATCAAGATCGGCAGTCTCCAGAACGGCAGCAATAATGCAGTACTCTCCACAGCAGCTACCTGGGCAGCAAGAAGCCCCACGACAGCAGCCCGTGCAAGGACAACCAGACTCCAGAAGCAGCACCAGCTCGAGGTGGTGTGGAGCATCCGAAGCAGACAGACAGCAGAAAGGAACGATCGGATGTGGTACACGAAAATGACGTGATGCCGATGCGACAGAGGCTGGACGATGAGTACGAACCGGTACCAGCTGATCAAGAGCAGGCAGAGGAGGATTTACGAGCACGACTACGTCGATCACATCATGCCTGGGACGCCATCCTGGGAGCAGTGGCATCCAGCAGTCAGAGGAAGACCGACTTGAGGCAACTGGACAACATCAGGAATGCACCAGGGCAACTCTACTACCCAAGCCGGCACCAGGGTATCAGATCGAAAGGAGGCGGTTGTTCAATTTGGACACGCGCGACCTGGTTCCAGACATCTCGAGGGTGGATTGGGTAGTTAACCCTCAGATCATCGGCGATGTGGCGGCGCAGCAACCGATCGCGGTCATCGAGGAGATCACATCAATCGAGGAAGATGGCACTAAAGATGGACTGCGAGGTGACCAACATCCTGCAGCTTCACAGCCTGGACCTCCAAGCGGCGGCAGCACCTGCGAGATCATGGGGGGGCCGGGACATCCCGCGGAGGTGAAACGCGGTGGTAGGGAGCATTAGGTCTAGAAGGACCTGGAGCTCAAGCACAGACCAAGAAGGATGATGCTCACGACGACCGAGCTCAACTCCGTGCACCTGCCAGTACCCAGAGGCATTTGGAGGAGCGCAAGAAGGCAGAGGCGGCAGCAGCACCTACACCAGCACCGCAAGATTAGCAAGGGACGGCAACATCGAGCACAAGGCAGCTGGATCAGCATTAGGGCAGCAAGCGCCAGGATAATCCCGTGACGCTCAAGGAGTTCTTGCAGGGCGATGTGCCCATGAGCATCAAGCGTGTGAAGGGGCGAACGGGACCCGTCAAGCGGCTGGCGGGGACTCCGCTCCTTCTTTAAGGATTCGTGGCCGAGCGGATGCGCGCCCAGCCGACGAGGGCCAACGAGCATCAGGAGATCAGCCTGAAGACGCCGGTCGATGACGAGCTCACATGGAAGAAGATGCAGGGTGCAGTGGGGAAGGAGTGAACACTTGGTGCAAGTACGATGTAACCCACATATCAGGAGCAGCGGTTGAGAATATAGACCCGGACAAGATCCTAAGTTCCAAGGTGGTCTGGTCGGACAAGGGCCCTGTGGACGAGGCGACGAGGAGGAGTTTGGTGACCAGCTACGCCGAGATTCTCCTACAATCTCAGCACAGATGACGCTACTTCTGTGCAGCATCGGCCCCGGCCTCAACCTGGACCTAGTCGTCGCAGACGTGAAGGGGGCCTTTCTTCACTGCAAGGCGATCACGCGCGAGCTCTATTTTCGGGTGCCAACGAAACTTGGGACGCGCACCAGCCCAGGCGTTGAGGCATGCGACCTGCTGAAGCTTAACAAGAGCATCTACGGGGCCAACGATGCGGCAAGGGCTTCGTGCGTGGCGCCGCGCGAGACGCTCGCGATGCTTAGGCGGGAAGTTCGAGCCCGCGACCTTCATCGAGCGCAATGCGGAGAACGCGATCATCTGGATCACGTGCCTACGCGTGGGCGACTTCTTCACGGGCATCGAGCAGGGCGACCTTGCGGGCGCCAAGATCATGATGGACCTCGACAAGGAGATCGATTTTGGCGAGGCCAAGTACGCGAGGAGGGGAGAAGGCGACGTTCTGTGGCTGGGCCTACCAACGGGACAAGGACGGCAGCATGAACGTCACCATGGAGGCCTACGTGCAGTCTATGCAGACTGCACGTGTCTCGAGCGCGCGCAGCAAGGCGCCTGACAGTGCACCTACCCCTGCAGAACATCGAGAACTACGAATGGAGGTTGGACTATGCAGTGGGCTGCGCGAGTGACTAGCTTCGAAGAGGCGTTCGAGGCATCCCGATTGGCATCGACGCCGGGGTCTCCGACGGCGAAGGGCCTACAAGGCGGGGATGCAGCTATCAGGAGAACCCAGAGGCGGGACGATTTATTGATCAAGTTCACTGCTGGCCTGAACCTGTGGAAGACCATGGTGATGAACGTGACCGACAACAGTGCATTCGACAACCTGCCGAAGCACAGATCGCAACGATGACGCTTCATCATGTTAGGCGACGAGAAGATCAACGAGGACCACGGCAACAAGTAAAAGGTACATTGCATTGGGTGGCAGCCTTCAAATTTTGAACGAGTGGTGCGATCTACTCAATCGGCGGAGGCATACTCATGTGCAGATCCGGCGGATATGTTGATTTGGACAAGGTCAACCCTGGCGGAGGTCCTGCACGCAGAGATGGATGCGGCCGAGATCGTGCATGACGCCTGCCCGGAGGAATGCATTTCGGCGACCGACTGCAAGAGCCTGTATGACACGATCACGAAGGAGAAGGTATCTATGACAGATTGGAGGCTTACTCTAGAGGCGGCTATGCTCCGTCAGGCACTAAAGGAGGTCAACGCCAGGTGGGTTGAGAGCGAGCAGATGCGAGCGGGCTGTCTGACGACAGTGCATCGAGGAGGCTACGCGAGGATGATTGTGATACCCAACTTGTCGACTCTTGGGCCTGATGATAAAGCGCCATCAATGCGCGGGCGGAGGTTAGTTGGACCAGAGAAGGTAGCAGCCAACAAGGAGGTTGACGACCTGAACGCGAAGATGGCCAAGCATTTCAAGCAGGAGCTGTGCGACGACGCCGAGGGGAACGATACCTGGCCAGTGGAGACGCACAACCATGTGGACGAGTGCTTCTACGACGAGAAGAACGAGACTTATGACGAGACCGAGTATGTCGAAGCACTCTACAATCGACGATGCGACGGACAACTACACAATAGCAAGGGGTGGCGCGCAGCGAACCATTCAGATACCTGGCCAAGTTGCAGTTCTGCTTCAATTCTGTGTACTGGCAGTGTGTGGCGATTGTCTTCCGTTGTCTCCTACGGTGGTGACGTTAGTGTCTATCATCGCAGGAATCATCATGCTCATCTACATAATGCATCCTAAGGAGAGCAACGGCGAGGACTCTGGCGTGGAACCGATGGAGGCGGGTAGTTAGAGCAGCGACAACCTTTTTCAGGGCGGAGTTGGTCAGCAAGCCGGCGAAACCCAAGACGGTTACACTACGTCTAAAGGCTGAGCCCGGAGTGGGGGCGTACGCTGACGAGATCGCAGAGGATGGACAGGTCTGCCTGAGGGACAGTGCCCTCCTGAGGCAGTGGCTGACTGCGCTGCGGCCGACGCGCATCAAGAGTGGCAAGCACGAGGGCGACAGCTTCGCAGCAACATACAGCAAGGACAAGCACTGCGCCACTTGCTTGGGCCGGTGTCTGAAGCTGAACGCAGACGAGAGCAGGAGCTACAACCTCGATCCGGACATCAAGACCTACATAGCCTACAGCATCATCAAGTCAGCTCGGGTACGCTGAGATTCACTACCAAGTATGTGTTGACGAATGGTGGAGAAAGAGTTGATGTGTGCATCCTCTCAAGTGAAGAGATGCTGTGCGCACCCTCTCAAAAGCTCATGCAAAGATGTGATGTAGTGATGTATGTTGCTCGGTGCCCGGGCGGCGGTTTGGCCAGTCGAGCCGCTAAACATATTCCTGACTATTCTAGAAACTTGCTTCAGAATTTTGCGACGCATTCTTTAGCAACGTTTTCTCTTGTGTGAAAATCAGGCCGGCACGGATGTGAGATATAGGATGAGAATGATAATGTTCTCTGTTGTTGCTGCTCTCGCTCGCTCGCTCGTGCGTTGTGCAGTTCCCCTCCCGCCCGCAACCGTTGTGGCTCACAAGCTGGGCGGGAGGGTGGACGCACCTACTCGCGTTTTGGCTTGATAACTGAGACAACATATTTTTATGTCCTTTCTACCTTGTACTTGCACCAAGTACTGGCGGGAGGGCTGTTGTGATTTGTATTTAACAAGAGCGGGTCCTGGCAGGCCCCCTCGATCACCGGAAAATGTCGTGCCCGGCCTCGCGCCGAATGGCCAGGCCGCGCCCGTGTCAAGGCGGTGGTGGGCGGCTGGGCGACTGCCCTCTGCTTGGCCCAGTCCCCTTGGTGCACCGGTTGTCCTGTGTTCGGCCCTGGATGTTTTGTCCCCGTTGTCCTGCTACTATTTCTGCTCGTCGCCAGCGTCCTCTACAGCCGGCTCGTCCTAAGAAAAGAACGGCCGACCAGCAGGTGCGCCACGGAGGCTTCGTATCCTCCGATGGCCCTGGGGGCCCACAGTTCTTGGGGCACCCCGGGAGGCTCACATCATATCACCAGACGTGCCCGTTGAATTATTTAGCCAGATGTCGGATTGTATGCTTTTACAGCGGGCGCGTCAAATAAGAAATAAGTTTTCCAGCTGGTGCCACACAAACATTTAGTCCCCCCGATTGTCCCAGGGACCCCCACAAACGCTGGGGCTTCTGCGGGCCATCAAACATTATTGACGAAGAATGCGCTGCAGAATTCATGATTAGAAGGTTTCTTATTGTATGATTTTACTGTGCTCCACAGTCTCCTGCCCGACAGAGCCTGACGGCAGGCCCATGAACCGCATCCTGATCGACGTCCCCGGGAAGAGCGCTGGCGGAGGGATGATGGCGCAGGCCCGGCTGCAGGACGTGTGCGGGGCCCAGCATATCCTGAGTTCTGGAGTTTGCTTCTCCTCCTCCGACCTCACACTTCAGACCTGATCCAAAGTGCCACCCCCGCCTCCCCCTCTTCAGAAGAGGAAAGTGTACCGAGACCAGTGTCCTCGTCGTCATGTCAGAATTCGCTTTGGGATTCTGGTCAGAATGCACCCCTGGAGAGGTCTGGGGAGTAGTGGCATCCGTACCTGTTCATACTCCTGCTACCCCCTTCTGCTGTCCTCCTCCCTCCTCTCTTCCCTGGCTTCCTCCCTCCTGCTCCTCCTCCTCCTCCTCCTCCTCCTCCTCCTCCTCCTCCTCCTCTTTCTCTCCCTCCCAACCGACTTCCCACCGCTGTTCCTCATTGCTCCTCATCCCATCCCTCACTATCGTCACGAAGTATCTGAAATCTCCTCGTTCTTGTTCTCGCCATTCGTCATCATCTTGAACTCTCTCTCTCTCTCTCTCTCTCGTCATCATGCATATGCCTCTACTGATTTCCTCCGCCTCCTGCCTGTCATACCTTACCTCTTCCTCCCAGCTTTCCCCCCCCTCCTCCCACCTCGTTCTCGCATTTGTCCTCGATGCTCGTCCTCGATGTTCTGTGGGGATCAGTGCGCGATTTGGCCGAGGGGCTCACGGCCAGGCTGATCGATCAGGCTTTCGACGGGCAATGTTGCTCCGTGCTTTGGGGGGATCGGGTTAGCTTGTGTAAAATCCGCACCATGCCGAATATCGGCTGCATCGGTTTTGGTGGGAGGGTGCGGGGGGCAGGAGGAGGAGGAGGAGGAGGATGAAGAGAAGGAGGAGAGGGAGGAGGAGGGTAGGCGATGGAGAGCGTCGGGAGGAGTGGGGGGAGGAGTACGTTGACGTGGGGGGGGCGTGTTGAACACAAGACTCACCACATACACCACACACACACACGGACCTACGAACGCGCACACACACAGACACACGCACAGACACGCACACACACACACGCACATACGCACACACACACACACACACACACGCACCAGACGCACACGCACACGCACACGCACACACACACACACACGCACACACACCACACACACACACATTTACACACAGGCACACACACACACACACTCACTCACTCACTCACTCACTCACACACACACTCAGTTGCGTTGGCGGTAGCGGTCTCGCGCGCAGCGACGAAGCGGAGCAACACATACACACACAAACTCACACGCACACGCAATTTCCTCCAGCGGCGAGGTGGTGGCACCGTCGCGAGCACTAAGTTGGGGCGCGCTTAGTCGAGCCCCGCATGCCGCAGGGCGTAGCAGGTGGGTGGACCTGACGGGGCAGTCGCGTGCAGGGCATGCATGTGGAAGATGCGTGTGAGTGGCCGTGCAAGGTGCAGAAACAGAGGCCGATTGCCGCGTGGCTGGCCTGTGAGCAGGGGCTCAAAGAAGGAGCACACACTTGTCCCTCCAGCGGCGAGGTGGCGGCACCATCGCGAAGAGCTAATCCTGGAGATGCTCAGCGCGCGCAAACACATGTGTTCCGTTGGCGGCTAGGCAGAGTCATTGCGCTGGCGATGGGACACACACACACACACAGACACGCACACACACACACACAAGCGCAACAAGCACAGATGGGAGGGTGGACGGGAGGGGGAGCCAGAAGACGGTGAGGGCGAGGGGGAGGGCGAGGCGGAGGATCAACGCCATGGATAAGGTTGGCCCGTCAGGGGATTGCCAAGGTACGGGAAGACCCTCGCCACGGTGGTTGCAAGGTCCACGGCGCAAGACCCATTCTTGCCTCTCAAAGTCATAGTCGTTCTCTTTCTGCCAGTGCTCCTGTACTCCCGCCCCCTGCTCTTGCTTCTCCTCCCCCGCCCTTCTCCTGAACGCCTGCCGTTCCTAACTCTCCCAGGGCAGCTTAGCTCGCGAGGGCCCAGAGCTCCTGCTGGCCTTGTACCTTTTTCCCATGGCGGCGGGTGAGCAGACAGAATCATCAGCATCCACGATTGGGAGCAACGGGATCAGGCATCCGAGGTGTGAGCCCCATTCTTCCCTTCCCCGTCGGCACTCCCAGCAAGTCCAAAGGTGTAGGGAGGCTCTTGAGAGCTCCATGGTCTCTCTCCCTTTCCCTCTGTCTCTGTCTCCCTCTCTCGTTATGCCTCTTTCTCTTTTTTGTTCACTCTCCCTCGCGCTCTCTCTCTCTCTCTTTCCTTCCTCTCCCCATACACCCTTCCACTCCCCCCTCGCTTCCCGCCGCGCCGATTGTGCCCCTCTGCGTACCTCCGTCCTAGTCGTATCTCGCATCCCCTATCAGCCCCTTGTCAACCCCAATTCCGTGTAAAGTGTAGCTCCCATCTATCAAACTGGAAATTTGGCCTGGTTCGACGCGCGCCAGATCTGGCCCCGTACCCGCCGATCGCATGCGATATCTCAGGTTGCCACATGCAGACGGCCGTCATACTGTAGTTGCTTTATTACCTCCCACGCCCAACGCCATAAGTCAGACATGTACGCGCGCATTCATATTTCCCCCCAAAACATATTTGTATTGTCGAAACTCCTGCTCTTCCCCACCCCCCGCCCTAGACCCCCCTTTTTAGGTTCGATCGTCAACCGTTATTCCCTTTGCTGTTTTTTTTCGCTCTCCCTCTCGCTCACTCTCCCTCTGGCCTCTCTCTCCCTCTCCCTATAGATCCCCCTCTTAACACATGTCTACATCTATGTATGTGTTGGGCAGCGCGGGCCCCCAATCAGCGTGATTCTAGCCATCTATGTTATGTGAACTGCTTCGGGCAGTACAAGTGGCGCAACCTACGTGATGCAGCATCTGCAGTGCACTATATGTAACGCGGTGTAGCTGTTCTAGGACGGGATTCGCATTGCGTGTCACGTTGTGCCATACGTAGTTGCATATGTGTACCTATAAACAAACAGCTGGGAATACATGATGTAATCCATGTTTGGCGATTTATGCTTTGCAACAAGTGCGGTGCAATACACGTGGTCCACTATATGGTGGTAAATTTATGGTGTGCCATACATGGTGTGCAAAGAATGTGGTGACATCAGTATGTTGCGATCTATGCTGTGCAACCTGGGTTGCGCAAAACATGTGGCGCGATGTATGCTGTGCGATATTTGTATACATATACTCGTGGTGCAACCTATTTAATGCGATCTACGTTGTGCAATCCACGTGGTGCGATTCAGGTTGTGCAGTATCGGCTTTGCGGTCTAACTGCGGTAACATCTTTGTGGTGCGCTATCTTGGGTGCAGACGATGTGGTGCAATCTACGTGTTGCAGCATGTGTGGTGCAACCACGCGTTGCAATAAATAGATGGCGGGATGTAAACTGCACAATCGATGAAGCGCACTATATACATTACAATCTCATGTGGTGCAATCTACATGGTGCAATATAAAGTGTACAACGTGCGCAGTGCAACCTATGCGGTGCATCTCGCTTGCCGAACATGAAGTTGTCAACCCCACTGCTCGCGCAATCATGTCACCCACCCGCCCGCAACTTGATTTGCAAAGCACATGCGGCGGCGATTGAGATGAGTGCTTGGCGCTGGCTGGTGCATCTCTGCGGCCGCGCCAGCCCGCGCATGCTCGCGCGCGCAGCGGCCAATTAGTTTGTTGCGACCGGCGCGGACGCGGTGGCGCTGACCGCTCGGCACATCCCAGCGGGCACTACAGTGCGAGTCGGCGACTTCGGGTGGCGCGGTATCATGGCAAAGTTGACAACGGTAGATACGATGATGATAGTAGCGATGGCGGTGGCGATGCTGATAGTGACGACGGAGCAACCAGTGACGGCGCCGATGCTGATCACGCCGATGACGATGACGGCGTCTTCGCATTGGCGACGAAAGGTTTGGAAGGAGTTCGATTTGCGCGCGCGGCAGACGCTCGAGAATGGCCCGCATGCTGTTGTTTGACACGGATCGTGCCACCCCAGCACGCGCGCAAGGGCGTTCGAACGATTTCGGCTTGCGCGCGCGCGAAGCCCGTTTGGGTAGCACCTTATGAAAATGTTGGACAACCAACTGTTGTCTTAAGAAGTCGCAATCGCGCGCAAGGTCTTTGTGGAAATCCGCGTTGCGAAACGTCATGATTTTGTATACGTTGTTTGGACACTCGATGGTCACATCTCTCCGACACCATTTGTGTTTGACGGATTCCGGCATTCTTGCGCGACGACGCGCGCGTGTGCATTTCCTGTTTTTTTTGTTACTTCAAATGGTTGATGGGCGAATGCGCGCGCATCGTATTTTGTTGCAGAGGATGGCGGGGGGGGGGCCATACCGGTTGGGTTGGGGTGGTACGAGCTCATGTTTAGAATGGGCGATGGGGCAGAACTAGTTTTAAATTGCAATACGGAAAAGAAGTGCGGATAATCCCGCGGGGGGGGGGTCGAATCTATTTTCTAACACGGGAATATATGCGAGGAGTCGGCGGTGGGCGGCGATGGTGCGGTAATGGCGACAACATAGCCGCCAGACCGACGCGCAGGCCCACACGACGGGCGGCGACGAGGCGGCGAGTGGCGAGGCGGCGCCGGGGCGGCGACGGCAACCACAAGGCGGCGGACCCGACGCGCAGACCCAGACGACGGGCGGCGACGTAGCGGCGACGGGCCGTCGACGGTGACGACATAGTCGCAAGACCGACGCGCAGGCCCAGACGACGGGCGGTGACGAGGCGGCGACGGGGTGGCGACGGCGACGACATAGCCGCCAAACCGACGCGCAACCCCAGTTCCGTAGAACACTCGGAAGAACCCCCAAGTGAAAGCACCGCTTTGGAATGTTAGATCCCGTCCCTCTTTCTTTATTTATTTCTCTCTCGCTCAATATCTCCTCATTATGCTATCCCTCCTTTTTCGTTTTCCGTCCTTGCTGCTGCCCCTCCTCCTATTCCAGGCCCCGTCCTTTCCTCCTAGGGACACGGGCCTGTCCCTCTTCCGCGGGTGCGAGATCTTCGGCTTCGTTGAGCCAGAAGAGGACGGCTCGTTCAACGTCCGGCACAGGACTGGCTTGCGTGTCCTCTCTTCCTCCTCCGCCTGTTCCGGGGAAGAGCCGTGGAGGATGGGGACGGACGGGTCGGGTGCGGAGTTTGAACGCGCCTCCTCCCATTCGTCCTCGTCAGTCCTTCCCTCCTCCGAGTTGTCTCGGCCCCGTCAATCTTCATCCCTCATCTCATCCTGCCCGTCTCCCTTCCGCCTCTCACTTGTGCCTCTCTCGTCCCCTTTTTCCTTACCCGCCGCCTCTCAATTCTTCGGCCAGTAGCGTCTCTAATCAGCAGACCCTCGGGTCCAATTGTACGAATCCCAACGGCGCGGTGGGCACATCCCTCGTCGTTGGTCGCGGGTGTGATATTTTATGATATGTTTGTTGTTGCCGTTATTATCAGATTTACGTGGCGAATTTGATGCATGAGAACATGGGTAGGCCAAGAGCCCTTGACACAACCAGTGACTTAAATAGCGTGCGTGACGGGAGGCACCCGAGGAGTAACACACCTGTTTGCGATGGTGGTCCTGCCCCCAGAGATATTATGTTTCTGCTTGAGGCTTTGTTTGATCCTGAGCGCCTCTTGTCCACCCATTGTTTCCATGATCCCACTTTCCCCGATGAGTAGGAATGCGTGCCTGGCGGTCAGCTGCGGAGAGCAGTGCAGACCTCAGAAATGAAGAGGACGTGGCTCCTGTCGTGCCAGCTGCTCGATTGACCAATGCGGAGCCTGGTGACTCTGACCAGTGTGCGTGCATGGTTTGAACTCCCCTCCTGCCTGCGCCGCACGCTCGAAGAGATAGAAGCAGCAACACTTGCGTGCCACATTGCTTGTTTTTTGTTTGCATACGTCCCCTACATCGGCTCCTCGTCCCCACTTGCCGTGGGCAGCACCGATTGCCAAGCCGTGCCGGATCCTGGCATCGATGCGTCAGTGTCGAGTGTGCGTCCTCTTTTGCCTTGCTTGACTTTGCAAAGGAGAGGCTTTCGGAGAATATGGTGGTGCTGGTGCTTGTGATGCGGCCCTGGGCGGTTGCAGGGCCCTAGTCTCATGAGCTTACGAGACTGCTCCCGCATTGTGCTCGCTTGCTTGCGTACTTGAATCGGACCTGTCGCTTGTTTTCCTTTCCCCTCGGGTTCTTGGGCCTTGGTTGCTCGCTCGGTCGTTTGCCCTTTCCGCAGTGTGCCTTATCTGGCCCTCGCTCGTTCGTCTTTTCTCGGCCCTCGCTCTGTCCCCGCTCCATTAACGTATGGGAGTTAGCGCTTCGACTGTAACCCACGTCCAAATAACCCGCCTCATCCTCCTCCTTCTCCGCTTCCTCTACTTCGCCCTCCTCTGCCCTTCCTCCGATCCTCCTCCCCGCTCGCTGCTCGGCATCTCCATCTGGCTGGCCACCCCTGGTATCTTCTCCGCCACCTCCCTATGCCCCTTCGGAGACGAGAAACGTAAATCACAGGATCAGGAAGGGGGGGGAAAGGAAAGAAAGACGTGAGACTGAAGAGGAGGAGGGCAGCCTCCTCCTCCTCGTTCTCGCCCATCTCCCCCATCCCCCTCTCCCTCCTCCTCCTCCTCCTCTTCCTCCTCCTCCTCCTCCACCTCCTCCTCCTCCTCCTCCTCCTCCTCCTCCTCCTCCTCCTCCCTCTCATCATCATCATCCTCATCATCATCATCATCATCATCATCATCATCATCAGCAGCAGCAGCATCATCATCACCTCTTCCACCCCAACGTCCCTGCTCACGCTCCACGTTCCGTCGTTCTCCGCCTCCCCCTCCAGCGGGACTGGGCCATGGAGCATCCCCGCGCAGGACGGGCGTGCACTTGCTCACGCTCTCTGGCAGCGTCGACGTGTGGGACGTCGAGGGCATGAACTTTTTTTGCCGGGGAGGGAGGGAGGACTGGAGAGGAGAACAGCCTCCTCGTCACCGTTCGCCTTGACCCCATACCACCGGTATTCCTTATTCTACGAGTTCGCCTTCTCGCCCTCCCGCGCCCACCCCAATTATTTCTCCTCTCCCAAACTATATTCAATTTCCCCAAACAGTGCTTGCACTTTGGGCTTCTTACTTGGCTTAACCATTTCGGGGCGAATTGCGGCTTTTGCGGGCGGTGCCGCCCGTCGCCGCCGTCGCCGTCGCCGTCGCCGTCGCCGTCGCCGTCGCCGTCGCCGCCCCTCGGGGCGAGTGGCGGTTTTGGTGGGCGGTGCCGCCCGTCGCCGAGGTCGCCAACACCGCCGATCGGGGCGAGTGGCGGCTTTTGCGGGCGGTGCCGCCCGTTGCCGCCGTCGCCGTTGCATCGATTCCCGTTCCTAAAAAGAGAATAGACTCTACCCCCCTCCCCCCCGGGATTATCGGTCCGTCTTTTCGCATTGCAATTTGCATGAGATTCTGCCCCACCGTCCATCGTAACTGCGAATTCGTACCATCCCAGCCCAGCCGGTATCGACCCCCCCCCCGCCATGCTCTGCAAAAAAGCTATGCGCGCGCACTCATTCACCGAAAATCACAAGTTTCCCACCAAAAAATGTAAACACTGTTGACGATGTGCACGCGCGGGCGTCGTCGCGCGCGCATGCCGAGATCCTTCAGAAACCTTTGTTTTGTTGTTTGTTTTTTTCTCCCGGAAGGATTTCAAAATCGAGTGTCCCAACAACATGTAGAAACACAAGGTTTCGCAACACGGAATTTCAAACAAAATTTGCGTGCAAACTCTTACGAATTCTTGAATAAACCACATGTGCTTCAACATGTTAAGAACATGCTGCCAAACGGGTTTCGCGCGCGCATGTCGGAGTCTTTCGAACGCCCTTGCGCGCGTGCAGTTGTGAGAATGCTCTGCAACAAATGCAACAACGCGCACGCGCTCGCGACGCCGCGCGCGCATGCCGGAATCCTTTTGGAAACCTTCGGTCCCGTAGCGATTTCAAAAACCGAGCGCAACATCATATGTACAAAAAGCGTGCGCTTGCGCTCTTGCGAATTATTGAGAAAACCACCGTTTTGTCTCATCAGTTCTTTGGAATTCTGCCACACGGGCCTCTGGCGCCACATGCCGACAGCAATCGCACGCCTATGCGCGCGTGCCGGGGGTGCACGATCCGTGTCGAAGAAAACCATGCGGGCCATTCGCGCGTCGGCCGCGCGCGCATGTCGAGCTCTTTCCAAAGACGCGAAGACGCCGTCATCGTCGCCGGCGTGATCAGCATCGGCGCCCGCACTGTCCGCGCCGTCGTCGTTGCCAACATCGTCACGCCAAACACTCTTCGCAATCGCCGCCGCAGGGGGCTTTTCAAACAAATTTGCGGGTGGGTGGGTGGGAAGATTGCGCGAGCAGCGGAGGTGGTCAAGCGCAGAGCAGGGTAGTCAATTGCACCACGTCGATTCTCCCTTCTGACACGGAAATAAGTTCTACGACCGTCCCCCCCGGACTAATCGACCCCCCGGGAACTTATGCAAAACGAATATGACTTCGACCCAATGTCCATCCTATATGCGAATTCGTACTGTCCCAGCCAGGCCGGTATCGGCCCCCCTCGGTTCCCTTGCCAAAAAGTAGTATGCGCGCGGTCGTTTGTCAAACCTCATAAGTTTGCAAGAACCTTTTTGTAAATACAAAGCGGGACGAAGTGCGCGCGCGCGTCGTCGCGCGCGCATGCCGCAATCCTTCAAAAACCTCGGGTTCCGGAAGGATTTCAAACTCGAGTGTCCTATACATGTGTATATATACATATATCTATATATACATATATGTATATATACATATATATATATATATATAAGAACGTTGTTCCGCAACACGGATTTTCAACAAAAGCGTGCGCGCGCGCCCTTGCCAATTCTGAAGAAAACAATGAGTTGTTACCTAACAGCGAAGACTGATAGGTTTCTAGCAGGGTCAAAAGAGAGCATCATGACGCCCCAGGGGGGTCTGGGCGCGATCCGGTGGAGGATGCCGGGTTTTTTTTGCCAACAGCAACGCACTTCGTGGTCTTCGAGTTCCCAGAACTCCACTCCTGGGCATGATTTTGAATGCCCCGAGCCAACTATAGGCCACTTCGTGTTCTTCGAGTTCCCAGAACTCCATTCCTGGGCATGATTTTGAATGCCCGGAGCCAACTGTAGGCCACTTCGTGGTCTTCGAGTTCCCAGAACTCCATTCCTGGGCATGATTTTGAATGCCCGGGGCCAGCAGTAGGCCACTTCGTGGTCTTCGAGTTCCCAGAACTCCATTCTCGGGCCACATTTTGAATGCTGAGGCAGGCTGAGGCTGAGGCTGAGGTAGGCTGAGGCTGAGGCTGAGGCAGGCTGAGGCTGAAGCAGGCTGAGGCTGAGGCTGAGGCCGAAGGCAGACTGAGGCTGAGGCTGAAGCAGGCTGAGGCTGAGGCTGAGGCAGGCTGAGGCTGAGGCTGAGGCTGCGGCTGAGGCTGAGGCTGAGGCTGAGGCTGAGGCTGAGGCTGACGCAGGCTGAGAGGCAGACTGAGGCTGAGGCTGAGGCTGAGGCGGGCTGACGCTGAGGCAGGCTGAGGCTGAGGCTGATGCAGGCTGAGGCTGAAGCAGGCTGACGCTGAGGCCGAGGCTGAAGGCAGACTGAGGCTAAGGCTGAAGTAGGCTGAGTCTGAGGCTGAGGCAGGCTGAGGCTGAGGCTGAGGCAGGCTGAGGCTGAGGCAGGCTGAGGCTGAGGCTGAGGCTGAGGCAGGCTCAGGCTGAGGCAGACTGACGCTGAGCCCGAGGCCGACGGCAGACTGAGGCTGAGGCTGAAGGCAGGCTGAGGCTGAGGCTGAGGCTGAGGCTGATGCAGGCTGGTGCTGAGGCAGGCTGAGGCTGAGGCTGAGGCTGATGCAGGCTGAGGCTGAGGCAGGCTGACGCTGAGGCCGAGGCCGACCTGCAGACTGAGGCTGAGGCTGGAGCAGGTTAAGGCTGAGGCTGAGGCAAGCTGAGGCTGAGGCTGAGGCAGGCTGATGCTGAGGCAGACTGAGGCACAGGCTGAGGCTGATGCAGGGTGAGGCTGAGGCAGGCTGAGGCTGAGGCCGAGGCTGAAGGCAGATTGAGGCTGAGGCTCAAGCAGGCTGAGGCTGAGGCTGAGGCAGGCTGAGGCTGAGGCAGGCTGAGGCTGAGGCAGGCTGAGGCTGAGGCTGAGGCAGGCTGAGGCTGAGGCTGTGACTGCGACTGCCGTTGCCACTGCGACAGTCATCGCGAATGCGACTAACACTGCGAGAACGGCGGAGTTCTACATTTGGATTCTTATCTGAATCTGAAGGGGAATGTTTCCATATATGCTCCTACACATCGCTGTTAGGTTGCTTTGCCTGGATATTTTTCAACATGTTCAAGAAATACTACCAAACGGGCATCGCGAGCGCGCGTGCCGAAATCGTTCGAACGCCTTTGCGCGCGTGCTGGGGCTGCACGGCCCGTGTCAAATAACAGCATGCGGGCCAGTATCGCGCGTCTGCTGCGCGCGCATTTCGAATTCGTTCCAAAACCTCCATCAATGACGCTAAGACGCCGTCATCGTCGTCGGCGTGATCAGCATCGGCGCCGTCACTGGCTGCCCCGTCGTCGCTGCCAGCATCGTCACCAGCATCGCTACGATCATCATCGTTTCTACCGTTGTGGACGTTGCCATGATACCGCGCCCGCCCAAGTCGCCGACTCGCACGGAAGTGCCCGCTGGGATGTGCCGAGCGGTCAGCGCCAACGCGTTCGCGTCGGTCGCGCCAAACTAGCTGGCCGCTGCGCGCGCGAGCATGCGCGGGCTAGCGCGGCCGCAGACATGCACCAGCCAACGCCAAGCTCTCACTGCAATCGCTTCCACATGGGTTTTGCAAACCAAGTTGCGTACAGTGGAGTTGACAACTTCAAGGTCGGCAAGTGAGTTCTCTTCTCTAAGCAAGAGAAGTTCTACCACCCCCCCCCCGGACATATCGACTCCCCGGGAACCCGTGCAACGCGCATATGATTCTGATCCAATGTTCATCCTACCCATGAGTTCAAATAGCCCCAGCCAAATCGGCATCGCCCCCCCCGGTTCCCTTGCAACATGTTGTCGTGATTCCACGGGTTTTTGTCGATGCTCTCTTTGGGCCGCCGCCGTTTGGGTTGCTCAAGTTTTGAGTTATGCGGGAGAGGCTCACCACGCCCTGGCGGGGGCAGTCTCCTACTTGGCCAGGTGCCCGCAGGTGCCATCTTGCCCTCCGCGCCCTACCTGCCACCGGGCGTGCGGCACGCCTGCCGCCTGCCCGAGCTGCTCGATGCAGTGCCCTGCTATCCCACCGTGCGCGGAGGCGGCGCCCGTCTGCTGCCTGGCGGCTGCCCCTTGCCCGGCGTGCACCTGCCCGGCGCGCGCCTCGTGCGCGGCGTCTGGCCCCTCGCCTGGCTCGGCCGCGCCAGAGGCCGCCCCCTCGAGCGCGGCTGGCAGCGTGGTCGCCGACGCGGCGGTCGACGCGCGCGCGCTGGCCTCGGCTCTGGTGGGCGGCGCGGTCGGCTTCGTGTTCGCTGCGGCCTGCTTCGGGCGCTGCTGCACGGCGCCCACCCGCCCTTGCAGCCGCGGCTTCGCTGGTCTGGGCGATGGCGGCAGTCGCGACGACACGATGGGTGCACGTCTTTTACGCAGGCGAGGTGGTCCGGCACCAGCACTCGGATCTGGGCCGGGTGGCGTTGTCGGAAGCTGACCGCGTCATCTGCGCGGCGGACGGCGGTCTGCACATCGCCGCCCTCGCCAACAATCCAGATGCGCAGGCGGCGAGGTTCGGCAGCTTCGACCTCCGCCGCCCGGGGTCGCGGCCAACCAGGCGCGCAGGTTCCGCGCCGAGCCCGCGGACGCCGAGCTTGCGCAGATGTCGCTGGAGGCCGAGC